AAAGTAGAGAGTGATGTACATGGGAGGAGGGTTTGCGGCGCGGAACTCAGCAGGAAGGGCAGCGCGGTAGCGAGCGTCACTAGCGCGGAGGTGGGTAACGAGGTCAGCAACAGTGGGAAAGGCAGCGAGGTCAGGGAAGAGAAACGGTAGCATGGGGCGACTAAGCGTAGCGGAGGAAGGGGAGGAGTAGCGTGCAACTACAGCGTCGTACAAGGCCTGAGCGGTCTTGCACTGACTAAAGTGGGCACGCTCGGAGGAAGGGAGGTGGCGACGCACAGCAAAACGTGCAGCAGCATTGCGGGTCGCCCACTTGGAGCGAACGGCGGGGTCAGCATCAGCAGGAGGGGCAGGGACAGCTCCAGAGACAAAGTCAAAGAGAGAGACCTCATCTATAGCATCACACAGTAAGTACAGCTGCAGGCCTTCAATCCAGACTGCAAAGTCAATGGCTCTACCCTCAGCGTCAAAAGCTAGGACAGTGGGGGTGGCCATGACAGCAGCTGACAGTCTCACCGGGTAGGAAAAGTTGGGTAGGTCAGTGGCACTGTAACACAGCCCAGGAGCAGCAGTGGCCCCACAGGAGCAGGAGTGCGGCTCCACTGGCGGCTCGGGCGGCTCGGGCGGCTCGCGCGGCTCGGGTGACGCAGGGGCTCACGGGCGGCGCGGGCGGCTGCACGGGCGGCTCATGTGCGGCTGGGGCTGCTCACGGGCGGCACGGTGGGCGGCTGCACGGGCGGCTGCACGGTGGCGCGGCGGGCTGCAGCACGGGCGGCGGGGCCGACGGTGGGCCGTAGCGGGGCTGTAGCGGGGTCGGCGGCGGGCTGTAGCAGGGCTGTAGCGAGGCTGTAGCGGGGCCGACGGCGGGCTGTAGCGGGGCCGGCGGCGGGCTGTAGTGGGGCCGACGGCGGGCTGTAGCGGGACCGGCGGCGGGCTCGGGCGGGGCCGACAGCGGGCTGTAGCGGGGCCGGCAGCGGGCTGTAGTGGGGCCGACGGCGGGCTGTAGCGGGGCCGACGGCGGGCTATAGCGGGGCCGACGGCGGGCTGGAGCGGGGCCTACGGCGGGCCGACGGGGTCTAGGCGGGGCCAACGAGGGGCCGTAGCGGGGCCTAGGCGGGCCGACGGGGCCTAAGCGGGGCCGACGCGGGGCCGTAGCGGGGCCTAAGCGGGGCCGACGAGGCCTAAGCGGGGCCGACAGGGCCTAAGTGGGGCCGACGAGGCCTAAGCGGGGCCGACTAGGGGCCTAAGCGGGGCCGACGAGGGGCCTAAGCGGGGCCGACGAGGGGCCTAAGCGGGAGCACGGCGGTAAGGGCGACACGGAGGGTCGCTAAAAAAAAAAAAAAACGCGCGCCTCGGGGCGCGCTTCGGTGGGCCCTAGGAACAGTCCCTAGGAAGGGACCTGCTCTGATTCCATGAGAAGATATGAACGAGAATGAAAATGACTATGAACGAAGTGAGTACAAATAGGAAACCCTAATTTGGGTTGTACCCCCTATGGGATACCCCACTATAGCCTACAGAAACAAGTAAGCTTTATGTTCTGACAAGAGGCGTGTAACCAGGCGCGCGCCATGCTAGTAAAATACCGTATCACTTGTGAAGTCGGTATCGTTACGGAAAACGAATACCAGCGTCTCGTAACAGGCTGAAGGAACTCCGAGAAGACGCTGATAACAGATGGGAATGAACGGGTGGTGCTTTGCCGATCTGATGCTGGAGTTGGAAATTAAATATCGCGTTGCAGTCGTTATCGTGTCCTCTAAAAACACGTAGAAACCGTGAAAAAATCGGCGGGAATTGTGATGACTACTAAGTCAGCAGGTAATGAACGGGTGGTGCTCTGCTCTCGTTCTATCGTGCGTATTTGAAGAAAAGATTGAAGTTGAGAGCCTACTCCCCGCAGGCCCAGCAGGTCAGGCTACGTGAATTTTGTTGTGAAGTTTGTTGAATACACCTGCCTGGCAACACGCTGGAACAAGCACACGTTCGTGACCAACAACAACGGAAAGAGAGCCGTCAACCAACCAGCATGTCAACACCCTCGTTACAAAACGGTTAAAAACCTTGATATTTTCATAAACAACGTTACATATGAAGACAATCATGAGTAATCATTAGTATAAAACCAGGTGTCACTAATTATATAAAAAGGGCGTCAACTCAATATGGTTCCATTCGCACTAATGACGTAGTATTGAACAACGGATGATGTGAAACCGCGCGAGTACAGACCTGGACTGCAGATGATGCCGCTTCGACGCTACGTTGCTCATTTATGCAAGGTTTCTTCACACCATTGACTCATGAATGATATTAGAAGGGGTCAAATCATCTTGGTGCCATTCGCACGACTGGCGAAAGAGAGACTCAGTTGTGAGCGTCCAATGATGTGAAACCGCGCGAGTACAGACCTGGACTGCAGATGATGCCGTTTCGACGCTGCGTTGCTCATTTTTGCAAATTTTCTTCACACCACTGGGTCATGAATGATACTAGAAGGGTGTCAAATCATCTTGGTGCCATTCGCACGACTGGCAAACGAGTGACGCAGTTGTGAACATCGAATGATGTGAGACCGCGCGAGTACAGACCTGGACTGCAGATGATGCTGCTTCGACGCTGCGTTGCTCATTTTTGCAAGTTTTCTTCACACCACTGAGTCATGAATGATATTAGAAGAGTGTCAAATCATCTTGGTGCCATTCGCACGACTGGCGAAAGAGTGACGCAGTTGTGAGCGTCGAATGATGTGAAACCGCGCAAGTACAGCCCTGTACTGCAGATGATGTCGTTTCGATGTTGCGTTGCTCATTTTTGCAAGGTTTCTTCACACCACTGAGTCATGAATGATATTATAAGGGTGTCAAATCATCTTGGTGCCATTCACACGACTGGCGAACGAGTGACGCAGTTGTGAACATCGAATGATGTGAAACCGCGCGAGTACAAACCTGGACTGCAGATGATGCTGCTTCGACGCTCCGTTGCTCATTTTTGCAAGGTTTCTTCACACCAATGAGTCATGAATGATATTATAAGGGTGTGAAATCATCTTGGTGCCATTCGCACGACTGGCGAAAGAGTGACGCAGTTGTGAGCGTCGAATGATGTGAAACCGCGCGAGTACAGACCTGGAGTGCAGATGATGCCGTTTCAACGCTGCGTTGCTCATTTTTGCAAGGTTTCTTCACACCACTGAGTCGTGAATGATATTAGAAGGGTATCAAATCATCTTGGTGCCATTCGCACGACTGGCAAATGAGTGACGCAGTCGTGAGCGTCGAATGATGTGAAACCGCGCGAGTACAGACCTGGACTGCAGATGATGTCGTTTCGACGCTGCGTTGCTCATGTTTGCAAGGTTTCTTCACACCACTGGGTCATGAATGATATTAGAAGGGTTTCAAATCATCTTGGTGCCATTCGCACGACTGGCGAACGAGTGACGCAGTTCCGAGCGTCGAATGATGTGAAACCGCGCGAGTACAGACCTGGACTGCAGATGATGCCGTTTCGACGTTGCTTTGATTATTTTTGCAAGTTTTCTTCACACCACTGAGTCATGAATTATATTAGAAGGGTGTCAAATCAGTTTGGTGCCATTCGCACGACTGGCAAACGAGTTACGCAGGTCTGGACGTCGAATGATGTGAAACCGTGTGTGTACAGACCTGGACTGCGGATGAGGCCGTTTCGACGGTGCGTTTATTTGTATTGCAACTTTTATTTCCAGAAACTGATACATTGATGATGCTATACATTCGTCTGTCAGAGGTCCACTGGTGATCCCCGATCGATCCTAGGGAAGGGTTATAGGCACGTTTGCTTGGGGGGTTATGGGCGCACTGACCCGCTACTGAAACAAGCCCTTTTATCCCAATGGTCTAGTGGTTGGGATTCTGAGATGGTATCAGAGCGAAGGTCTCGGGTTCGAATCCCGGTGTATGCACTTCGGGCATCCAAGTGCGGGGGGGTGTCAGAGGTCCACTGGTGATCCCCGATCGATCCTAGGGAAGGGTTACAGGCACGTTTGCCAGGGGGGTTATGGGCGCACTGACCCGCTACTGAAACAAGCCCTTTTATCCCAATGGTCTAGTGGTTGGGATTCTGAGATCGTCACCCCAATTAGTTGTCATTCCCGAAATGTTATGGTTTTCAACTGGACCTTTTGAGTGAATGTTTACCGTTTTATATATACAAAACTAAATGGTTTGTTTTTCAAACAATTTTGAACCTACCTAGAGGTTCCGACAAAACGATAGTTTCCCTGATGGCATCCGCGTCTAACATGAGAGGTTCATGAACTCAACCTCAGCGGTTGGATGTGCTGAGGGTTCCGTTATCGGGGGCCAGGAGAGCTTCACGCGAGCCCTGAAACAACCCTGGGCGTTGTTCCTTGTCCATCTCCTTGCTCGACGTTTTCAAACCCTTGGCCTTGCTCTATCTGCTCTGTTTGGCTGTTTGAATTTTGAGATTTGAAACTTGAGAACTCTGTGCCAACCCTAGCCCACGACCATAGCTACTAACCTCACCTTACACCATGCCTAGCGTTCGGTACCAACCCTGGCCGACCACCACAGCCACTTACCCCAGATATCCGCCAGGCCTAGCGTCCAGTTCTCAACTGAGTAAGGGAACGTCACCTGCTGTGAACGCGTTTCCATACCTCACCTCCCTTCCCAAGCCTGATTCAGTGACACAGTCATTACCACAGATTGCCACCAGGCCTTGCGTCCAGTTCAGCTTTGCTACGGATCGTCAACTGCTGCCGGAGCATTGCCTCACCGCACCTCATTCCCAAGCTTGATTCAGTGACGAGCCTTACTTTCCACCGTCTCACCAGGAGTCACGCTATTTTCGTAGTATATAATGGCAGGTCCGCCTCATTTTCCGCACAAACTTACCGAGAATCACTCTTCAAAGCTTCTCTACTTCTTCCGTCATGGAACAGTCTAACGCAACTGCTTCCGCCCTAATCTCTTCCATCCGCGGGCGTCGCCAAAATGGCCGGTTTCCTGCGATGCCCGGAACCCAGGCAATTCGTGCTGCATCGATGGGACATGCTACCTCTCTCGGTATCAACGTGGCGGCTCGACCATCTTCTCCGAAAAGTGAGTTTTTTTTTATGTTGTTTCGTTGCACACCATTTTACGCTCTGTTTCTAGCTTCCTTGTGTTGATTCCGCAGGCCAATGAGAGATATTGACACATTGTTGCTGGATCTCATTTGTGCAGGTCCTGTTCGGACGCGCTCCTTACACGCTGTGTTTTCCGACGCGGTAGGAAGTCAGCCGCGTCACGAGGAGAATCGGCCGCTCAACACCAGTGGTCATGCTCCACAAATCCCGGCCTTGCGTGGTGATGCGACTTCCGCTCACGTCAATGGCGTGGGAACGCCATCTGCTCACCATTCTCTGCGTTCCGGAAGTCAGGGCCGGTCGGGTGGGCGGCGAGCAGGTCAGGCGGCCCGCCAGAGTTCCGCCAATGCCGCAGGGCGCACGTCTGCTGCTGCTGGCGCAGGCCAGCAGTTCCGCCACGCTGCAGGGAGCAACACCGCCGCTGCTGCATCTGGCGGGCTGCTTGGCGAGACCGCTGGGCGCTCGTTTGCTGCTGCTGGCGCAGGCCAGCAGTTCCGTCACGCTGCAGGCAGCAACACCGCCGCTGCTGCATCTGGCGGGCTGCTTGGCGAGACCGCTGGGCTGACGTCTGCTGCTGCTGGCACAGGTCAGCAGTTCCGCCACGCTGCAGGGACGACCTCGGCCTACACTGCACCGGGCGGTCAGCTGCGCCAGGCCGCTGGGAGCAGCTCTCCTGACCCTCCATCTGGCGGTTTGTTCCGCCAGCCTGCGGGTCTGACCTCCGGCGATCCTGCACCTGGTGGTTCGTTGGGGCAAACCGCATTGAACAGCTCTCCTGATCCTGCACCAGGCGGTCCGTTTAGCCAGGCCGCTGGGAGGAGCTCTCCTGACCCTGCATCAGGTTGTCGGTCGGGGCACGAGGATGGGAGGAGATCCGCTGACCCTTCAGCTGGGGGCCAACTAGGACAAGTGGCTGGGTGGAGCTCTGCGAACACTCCTACTGGCGCTCATTTGGTCCAGACCGCCGAAAGACCTACAGCCGACCATGCTCCTGACGAGATGCGCACGATAGCTGCTGGGCACACCTCCACTGAGACCCATGACGGCAGCATGTTCCTGCCGTCATGCGAACCGGTTCCGAACGCCCCTTTCTGCCCGTCTGCTGGCATGACCTCTGCCGACCCTGCTGTTGATGGCGTGTTAGGCCAGGCTGCTTGGAGGACCGACGCCAATCCTGCTGCTGGCGTGCTGCTAAGGCCAACCGCGAGGCGCATCCCCGACGACACCAACACTAACGGCGTGTTCTCCCCGCCTGGAGGCGCCGAGCTTGGCGGCCACTTTGGCGAGGCCAATGGGAGGACCTGGACCAACTCTGGAGCAGACGAGCCGCTCATCCCGAACGCTGGTGGAACCGAGGCCGGTGATGCTGTGGGCGGTCAGACACGAGATGCGTATGGGCGGGCCACTACACACGCTGCTGATCATGAACTACACGGGCATGTGGCAGAACCGACCTCTGATGTTGAAGAGGCGCGTGCCGCACATCGTGCTCTCCAGCGTGAGAACCAGCGGCTGTTGAATGAGCTTGAAGAGCTTAGGCGTTCGCTTTCTCGGTCAACGTCACCTGCTGAGACCTCTGGTGGTGCGGGCGAGCAGCAGGAACCGTCTCCAAACTCTGGGAATGTCGCAGCTAATGTGCAGCCAGGAAGGCATCCCATCGTACCGATCAACGATCGGCTGCTTGGGAGGGCCGTTGGGAACGCTCTCGCCCAGGGAACCGAGCATGGCCTGCAACACTTGACCCCGGAGCAGGAGGTCCTCGCATTCGACCTTGCTGCAGCGATGAGGCGAGTCCCCGAGGTCAACAAAGGGCTTTATGTAAGCACCTTCCATGCTGGCACGCCATCCACATTCTTATGTTTTTCGCCTCTCATGCTTACGCAGGCAACAGTTTCTCTATCTCGTATCTTGGTTTTCAATGTAACACATCCTCAACATGTTGCGTGTGTTACTTCCCCACTGTCACCAGGTGGCAATGTTGGATGCACTCACCGTTCTTTTCTGGGATATGCCGGATGGTAGGATGGACTTCTGGCCATCTCGGAAGGTGCTGCTGGGAGCGCTTGCAACTGCTTTGAAGTACAAGACGGTTGGTCAGCGGACCGACCTGCTTCATGTGTACCTTTTTGACCCGGTTCGACGTGGCTATATCCGCAACAAGCTGCAGGATGGACGGCATGTCATTCTGCATACCGGTCGATGCGGTATTTACAGAGCGTTTGACTTGTACATTCAACGCCCCGACCAAAACCGCAAGCTCATGGGTTCCACCTTGATCGAGGCGTGGAAAGTGCAATACAAGCCAGGTATGTCTCTGTTGCCCCACTACCTGGAAGGAAATGTTTTTGATCCCATATCCATGTGAGCAGCCTGGCTGCTGCATGCCTGTAGTCGAGGCTAAGCAATCACCTCACCCCACCCCACTTCACTCCACTCCCCTCTTTCCTTCCCGTCCCCTGCTCAGGTAAAAAAATTGCCAACAAAGTGCTAATTGGAGATTCAGGGGAGGGTGCTGAAAGAAACCCTTTTCATCCAACCTCCATCCATCAACTCCCGCTCCCGTCCTCTTTCCCCTGCCTTTCGCAACCCCATATCCCTGTGAGCAGCCTCCCTGCTGCATGCCTTCTATCGCCAGAAGTAGTCGAGATTAGGCAATCACCTCACCACCCAACCCCCTTCACCACTCCCGTCACTCATTCCCTTCCCCTGCTCAATCAATAAAACCGCCTGTAGATTGCTCGCAGGAGATTCAGGAGAGCTTTATGAAACAAAAAAGTTCAAAACGTTTTTATCACACCCCCTTTACGTCAACTCCCGCTTCCCTTCTCTCTGTCCTGCCTTCTCACTACATATCCCTGTTAGCAGGCCTCGTACTGCATGCCTTTTCCGCCAGCTGTGGTTGAGGCTAGGCAATAACCTTATCCTACCACCCTTCTCTCCACTCCCCTCTCTCCTTCCCGTCCCTCTCAGTGAACTAAGCCGCCAGCAGTGATGCTCACAGGAGATATCAATAAGCATGCTAGAAATTTCGCTCTCATTCCACCTCAACACCCGCTTTCCTTCTCTCTCCCCTATAACTCAACCCACATCTCAGCAGCCCCACAGGTGCATGCTTTGTATCGCCATCCGTAGTCGAGGCTAAGCAATCACCTCACACCAACCCCCTTTCCTCCACTCCCCTCTCTCATTCTCGTCCCTATTCATTGAGAAAAACCGCCAGCATAGTGCTCACAGGCGATTCAGGGGAGGTTGCTGAGGAATTTGTTCTCATCCCCCACCTCCTTCTCTCAACACCCGCTTCCCTTTTCTCTCCCCTAAACCCTTCTCACCCCATATCTCAGCAGTCCCACTGGTGCACAGCTGGTATCGCCGGCTGTAGTCGAGGCTACGCAATCCTCCACCCCACCCTCCTCTACTCCACTCCCCTCTCTCCTTCCCGTCCTTATGTGAAAAACCGCCAGCATAGTGCTCACAGGCAATTCAAGGGAGGGTGCTGAAGACTCTGTTCTCATCCCACCTTGTCTCAACTCCCACTTCCCTCCTCTCTCCCGTGTGCCTTCCCCAAATCCTTGTGAGTAGACTCCCTGTTCCATGCCTTGTATCGCCAGCTGTAGTCGAGGCTATGCAATAACCTCACCCCACCCCCCTTCACTCCCCTCTCTCCTTCCCTTCCCCTGCTCAGTGACAAAACCGACAGCTGAATGAGAGTCAGGGGCGCTGGCTGGAATATGTTTCTCATCCCTCTTCTGTTTACTCCGACCCCGTCTTCTCTCCCTATGTTGCTTCTGTTATGCAATCCTATCTGTTTTGCAATGCCTGAATGTGTGTGCAGTCGATGGGTCTTACGATCTGTACACGTGACATTGCAACCAGAACGGGGTCCCTTTCTCCAACGCTGTCTTCACGCGCTTGATTGCGGCGTCTTTCCGCCGCGATGGGGAGGATGTCCTTGTGCTGAAGCTCAAACAGATTGCTTTTTGGCTGTATGGGGTGAGTGAGTGTAACGTCCTTTTCTGAATTGAGTGTAACGCATACTAGTTGTAATTCATCAATGCCTCCTTATGTCCATGCAGGTAGAGCACAAGATCATACATGGGGAAGAATTGGCCCGCAGCACGACAAGGAACAGAGAAGGTGTTGTGCTGTACCACAACAACGTGCGACGTTGGGCGCGAGACGCAGTCGACACGAGCACCAATGCTACGGGTCCCTGGTGGGACAGTGCCAACAATGCCTGGCACTTTTCGTGCTCGGACTGTGGCGTTTTTATTAGCCAGGAGGGTCTGGATGATATTTGAGTATGGCGTGGTGCTTGATGTGTAATAGCAGTTGAGGAAGGTCCTCAATTATTACTGTAGCACTCGTCTTGCTGAAAAACGAGTGCATATTAATCTGGAAATATATCCAGATCTATATTAAATATATAAATTATAAAATTGTTTTAAAAATTGTGATTCACGTAAACGGTAAAATTAAAATTTCTAAAATGTATTGTTACAATATCTAGAAACAAAGTAACGTAGTAGCGCCGTAACAACTGTTTATTGATATGCGCATAGGATAATTGCATTCTACGTTTGAGTGTATGCGTAACTAGAATCGTAACCAGGTAGACTCCATGTAATCGCCGGATTGATGTCGCAACCAATAAGAACAATCTGTCGCGAACCAATACGATGAAGTCGATGGCGCTTGGGTTCACCGCGGTAGCCCATCCCTGCAGACCAAGTAACGAGCTCCGATTGGTCAGTCATTTCAAAGTTACGATAAAGCAAGATTTGGGTGTAAATGAGATTAACGGCTGAGATTCATTGGTTTAGATTCCGAGAAGTTTCTGTTGAAGCCGAGTCATTTCAAAGTTACGAGAGGGAATGTTGGCCACAATCTTTGGAGTAGGTGTTGGAAAACCTACCGAAATGTTACCCCAATGTTGCCAGGTGGTAAGAAACGAAACCCCCGCGTTTTGGGATGTGGATACAGGAGAGCACACAGCAGAGCACACAGCATCATGCGGTTCAAGGCGATTCTCACGACGGACGGAGTGTCGCTCCTCGAGCAACGTCAGTCCGCCTCTGACGTCACCATCCTCCTCCCTTCCCTGTCTGCTTGCCTGACGATTCCTTTCCCTTTCCGATCTATCGCGTCCCTTTTGCTCCTGCTATGCTTTCAACCCAGAGATGGCGCTAGCTAGCTCAGCCTCGATGCCTTGGGTCACATGTTCCGTGCTCCCCTCTGTCTACCACGGCGAAGCGCATGCAACATTTGGCGCAAACCGCTTCCTTGCATGCCTCCATCGTCATCCTATGCCATCATGCCATGCTATCCATGCCGTGCTACGTGACAGAATCTCATCCTTGCAACCATCCCATCCATGACGTCATGCCTCAGCGTGACCACCCCATGGCTTTCTGAGCCTAATCCCCTTACATGCGCACAATGGCTGGCTTACATAAAGCTATGCTCTACACTTCAAATCATTCTCTTTTGATCTGTATGCCTGTTTCCGTCCCCAATGCGCACCATTTCTCCACTCATCCATGCCTTTTACCTCTTCTAGCCATCATCCCCGTGTCATCATTCCCCCACCACCACCCCACGCCCTGACCTGCAGGCCACCTAATGGCCTTAGAGCAAGCAGGCAAGGCACGCCCTTGTAAGCCTGTACCCCACCTTGTGTACCCGCCACACCCCAGCACCGTCCTTTATGGACTCAAATGCCCGTAACATTGCAGCCACACGCCTTCAGTTCATGCAACCACCCGCCATGCCACCCCCTGCTTCCCATCACCGTCGAGCGCGTTGGGCGCGTGTGCCACGTGCACCTTACGCCCTGTCACCAGCAGGGAGCCAATGCGTGTATATAATAAGATCCCACAGCTCCACGGTCCACCCCATGCCACCACCCCACCCGCCATACCACCCCCCCATTCCCAGCGTTTGAGCGTATAGGCCGGGTGTGCCACGTGTCACCTCACGTCCTGTAATCATCATTGTCGGCACCTGTAACTCCACGCATACACACACTATCATGGCGCCAACCACCACCCGTTTTCCCACCCTCCCTCCCTAACCCACGCCGCTCCTGCAGGCTTCCTGCCGGCCTTTGAGCGCATAGGGCGGGTGTGCCACGTGTACCTCACACCGTCTGACGTCTTCCTCCTGCACAACGTGCTCTCTGCTGATGGCGTGCAGGCCATCGCGCAGTTCCCCACTGTAAGATAAGATATTCAATGAGTGAAAACCCGAGCTGTGGTCCATCGCATGCATAAGGCACAGCTCAAAGGCTAGGCAAGTCAGCATGCAGGAGGCCATCACGCAGTTCCCCACCCACTGTAATGTCCCCCCACCCACTCATATTGCTGACTGCAAGCAAGTCCTCGCTGTAAATCTCGTCGTGCGGTTCCTCCTTCTCTTTCAGCACATTCCATTACTTTCCTTTGGACTCATGTCTCGTTTCCTCACATCGCCTTCGTCCTATATTGTCCTCACACACCTCCCTTCCTCTTCTCCTCCCGCCCTCCTTCACCCCCCTTTCCTCCCCCAGGACGAGCTGTTCGTCAGCAGTTTCGTACAGGCTCCGCCCTTCCTCCTGTCTCCCGTTCCTCATTACTCCTCCTGTCTCCCGTTCCTCATTACTCCTCCTGTCTCCCGTTCCTCATTACTCCTCCTGTCTCCCGTTCCTCATTACTCCTCTTGTCTCCCGTTCCTCATTACTCCTCCTGTCTCCCGTTCCTCATTACTCCTCCTGTCTCCCGTTCCTCATTACTCCTCCTGTCTCCCGTTCCTCATTACTCCTCCTGTCTCCCGTTCCTCATTACTCCTCCTGTCTCCCGTTCCTCATTACTCCTCCTGTCTCCCGTTCCTCATTACTCCTCCTGTCTCCCGTTCCTCATTACTCCTCCTGTCGCCCGTTCCTCATTACTCCTCCTGTCTCCCGTTCCTCATTACTCCTGTCTCCCGTTCCTCATTACTCCTCCTGTCTCCCGTTCCTCATTACTCCTCCTGTCTCCCGTTCCTCATTACTCCTCCTGTCTCCCGTTCCTCATTACTCCTCCTGTCTCCCGTTCCTCATTACTCCTCCTGTCTCCCGTTCCTCATTACTCCTCCTGTCTCCCGTTCCTCATTACTCCTCCTGTCTCCCGTTCCTCATTACTCCTCCTGTCTCCCGTTCCTCATTACTCCTCCTGTCTCCCGTTCCTCATTACTCCTCCTGTCTCCCGTTCCTCATTACTCCTCCTGTCTCCCGTTCCTCATTACTCCTCCTGTCTCCCGTTCCTCATTACTCCTCCTGTCTCCCGTTCCTCATTACTCCTCCTGTCTCCCGTTCCTCATTACTCCTCCTGTCTCCCGTTCCTCATTACTCCTCCTGTCTCCCGTTCCTCATTACTCCTCCTGTCTCCCGTTCCTCATTACTCCTCCTGTCTCCCGTTCCTCATTACTCCTCCTGTCTCCCGTTCCTCATTACTCCTCCTGTCTCCCGTTCCTCATTACTCCTCCTGTCTCCCGTTCCTCATTACTCCTCCTGTCTCCCGTTCCTCATTACTCCTCCTGTCTCCCGTTCCTCATTACTCCTCCTGTCTCCCGTTCCTCATTACTCCTCCTGTCTCCCGTTCCTCATTACTCCTCCTGTCTCCCGTTCCTCATTACTCCTCCTGTCTCCCGTTCCTCATTACTCCTCCTGTCTCCCGTTCCTCATTACTCCTCCTGTCTCCCGTTCCTCATTACTCCTCCTGTCTCCCGTTCCTCATTACTCCTCCTGTCTCCCGTTCCTCATTACTCCTCCTGTCTCCCGTTCCTCATTACTCCTCCTGTCTCCCGTTCCTCATTACTCCTCCTGTCTCCCGTTCCTCATTACTCCTCCTGTCTCCCGTTCCTCATTACTCCTCCTGTCTCCCGTTCCTCATTACTCCTCCTGTCTCCCGTTCCTCATTACTCCTCCTGTCGCCCGTTCCTCATTACTCCTCCTGTCTCCCGTTCCTCATTACTCCTCCTGTCTCCCGTTCCTCATTACTCCTCCTGTCTCCCGTTCCTCATTACTCCTCCTGTCTCCCGTTCCTCATTACTCCTCCTGTCTCCCGTTCCTCATTACTCCTCCTGTCGCCCGTTCCTCATTACTCCTCCTGTCTCCCGTTCCTCATTACTCCTCCTGTCTCCCGTTCCTCATTACTCCTCCTGTCTCCCGTTCCTCATTACTCCTCCTGTCTCCCGTTCCCCATTACTCCTCCTGTCGTCCCCCCCCCCCCCCCCCCCGCCCTCCCCCCCCTCCCCCCTCCCCGCCCCCTCTTTCCCGCAGGCCGAGCTATTCTCAGAGCATCTCATCAGCAGCGCCAGCGCCGACCGCATTGCCTTCTCGCTCGACCTCTCGCTGCTCGCCCGCGCCCTGCGCTCCTCCCTCGCCACCGCTGCCACGCGCCACCAGCTGAAGCTCGTCAAGAAGAGCACCAACCCCACTGCGCCCGCGCTGCCCTTCCTGTCTCTTGAAGCCAAGGTGAGTTCCAAGAAAGAGTTCCACTGAAACGCTACCTACTTCGTCCCTTCCTGTCTCTTGAAGCCAAGGTGAGTTCCACACGCGAGAAAAGCAGCACTTTCTTCTTCTCCCTCAAGACGAGCACCACGTTCCTTCCCCTGGCGGCCAAGGTGGGTGTCTCTGTTTGGTGCCATGCCACACAGTGTTTGCTGCGCCATGAGCCACCAGCTCAAGCTCGTAAAGAAGAGCAAGCACCATGAGAAGAGCAAGCACCATGCCCTCTGCACCATGCCCTCTGCACCATGCCCTCTGCACCATGCCCTCTGCACCATGCCCTCTGCACCATGCCCTCTGCACCATGCCCTCTGCACCATGCCCTCTGCACCATGCCCTCTGCTCCTGCGCTGCCGTTCCTGTCTCTTAAGGCCAAGGTGAGTTCCACATGCAACAAGGGCAGCACCCCCTTCTTCTCCCCCAAAAAGAGCACCACCCCCTCCGCGTCCCCCCTGCCGTCCCTCGGTCTTGAGGCTAGGGTGGGTTTCAAGGTGGGTGGTGTGCGGTGTTACACCCCAACCATCGCCACACACCACCAATACCTGCTCAAGCTCCTCAATAACAGCAGCCCCCACCCCCACGCTTTCCCCCTTTCTGTATGAAGCTCCCCCTTGGCGCGGCTGTTGCCTCCCCCTTGGCGCGGCTGTTGCCTCCCCCTTGGCGCGGCTGTTGCCTCCCCCTCCCCCCTTTCCCCCCAAAGGCCGAGTGTTCAAGCATCGTGCATCGTGCATCGTGCATCGTGCAGGACATCCCCATGTCGTTGCCTTGTGAGTGGCAGTTGGCTCAACTTGAGTGGCAGTTGGCTCAACTTGAGTGTCAGTTGGCTCAACTTGAGTTTGTGCCCACAGCTATGCATCTCCACCACCCTTGACAGCTCGACACCCCCCCCCCCCCCCCCCCCCCCGCCCCTTCACCCACACATTGCAAGCGCTCTGCTCGCATTGTGCGGGACAACCCCATCTCGACGCCATGTGAGCAGCACTTAGCACACCTTAGGTCTCCCCCCCCCCCCTCCCCCTTTCCCTTCCCCCCCCAAGGCGAGCGCTCCAGCATCGTGCAGGGCATCCCCATCTCGACGCCCAGGGTGCAGACAGCAGCGCGATTCCTCCCCCCTTCCGCCTCGGAGCAACAGATCATGCTCCCTCGTGCCCACCTTCCCCCTTTCCCAGGGCGAGCGCTCCAGCATAGTGCAGGACATCCCCATCTCGACGCCGCTGCCGCGCTCGCAGCTGATTGAGCTGCAGGCTGGGATCGACCTCGTGCACTCGCTGCCTGAGGTGAGGTGAGGGTGAGGCTTCAGTTGACTCTGGTGAGGCCTGAGTTGACTTGCGTTGACTGCAGGCTGGCATCGACCTCGTGCACTTGCCGCTTCAGGTGAGGTGCGTGTTGACTCTGGTTGACCTGCTGACTCTGGTTGACCTGTTGACTCTGGATATTGACCTCATTCATACAATCTTCGCCTCAGGTGAGCCCCCCTGTTGAATTTGGTTGACTTTTGTTAACTCCTCGTACATTCGCAATCTCAGGTGAGGCACGCGTGCCTAATGCTGTGTCGCCCCATGGTCTGTTGTCAAATGCCCTTCTTTAATCTCCCATTCCTCGCCTTCCTCCTCTCCCCCCCACACCTTTGAAGACCCTGGTGTGGCTGCCAGACCTGCCGTGGCTGCGGAAGCTGGTGGAGCGCCTGCAGAGGATAGGCGGCGTGATGTGAGGGGAGTCAAAACACCTCATCAGCATCCCCCCTGGTTTGGGATAAATAACCGGCAGTGACCACTCACCACTCATGATTGGAGTAAAGCCTCCCGTTACTGCTCTCCCATTCCTCTCCTTCCTCCTCTTCCAGCCCCCCCACCCCTTCAGACCCTGATGCAGCGCAGCTGCCGGATCTGCCCTCGCTGCGCCACCTGGTGGGGCGCGTGCAGAGTGTGGGTGTCGTGGCTTCAGGCGGGTCACAACAATACACTAGTGCCCTGCCCTCAAATCGCGACGTCCTCCCTGTTCTCTTCTCACTCACCTTGCCCCCTCCCCCACCATGCCATCAACCTTGGCAGACCTGGGTGCAACTGCCTGTCCCCCTGCGCCACCTGGTGGAGCGCCTGCAGAGTGTGGGCGATGTGGCGAAGGAAACCGGCCCTTTCCCTTGCCCTCCCCACCCTCTTTTCTTCCAGACCCTGGTGCAATTACCAGATCTGCCGTTCCTGCGCCACCTGGTGGAGCGACTTCAGAGTGTGGGCGACGTGGCTGACGTGATGAGTAAAACTCCCATCGGGCCCTCCCCTTGTTTCAGACCCTGGTGCAGTTACCAGATCTTCCCTCGCTACGCCACCTCGTGGAGCGCCTGCAGAGTGTGGGCGACGTGGCTGACGTGGCAACGATGAGGAGCGGTGCGCTTGCCATGCGCACCCACACGCCCTCCATCACTGTTGCCGCCCAGTTCAAGAACCTCAAAGTCTTGGGGGCTAATTTAGGTGACTTGTCAGCCATCTCAGACTCTCGGTACTGGCCTCGCCATGCACACCCACACTTTTGAGACGTCTCAAAAGGACTCTCGGTACTCACCATGCACACCCACACCACACCACACGCCCTGCCCTGCGCCACCGTCGCCACCTAGTCCAAGAACCTCAGAGCATTTGGCTCCCACACAGGTTAAATCAGGTGACTTCTCAGCCATCTCAGTACTTGCCATGCGCACCCACATGCCCTCCAGTACCATAGCCGCCCAGTTCAAGAACCTCAAAGTGTTTGGGGTTAGTTCAGGTGACTTGTCAGCCATCTCAGTAGTTCCAAGTTGCGATGCACACCCACACGCCCTGCATCAGCGTCACCACGGAGTTCAAGAAAATCAGAGTCTTCGGTGCCAATCCAACTCAGGTAAAAAGCATACAGTGGGTTTGTCTTTTGGGGCCAAATCAGTTGATTGTTAGGATTTGACAACTTAGTACGGTCAAATCCTAACAAGCACCCACGCCCCTCCATCACGGCCGCGGCCCAGTTTAAGAACCTGAGGGTGTTTGGTATAAGAGGTTACTATGCAAACTTTTGAGGCGCGTCAAAAGTCAACGCAGGGTGCAACGATATAGGAGGTTCATATACAGACATAGAGGTGCAACCGAAACGATTTCTTTGACCCATGCCTGCCAAGCTCTGTCCGCACAATCGTCCCCTCTCTTCCCTGCTTTCTTTCGTCTCCACCAATCCCCCATTTTGCTCCGCTTCCTCCGTCTTACCCCACTTCAACCTTCTCCACCCCTTGCCACACATGATACCACGGAGCAGAGAGCCAGCAGAGTGGGGCGGGGGTGGGGGAGGGCAGCAGGCAAGGGGGGGGCGCAGACGGCGATGAAGACATTTCGGGGCTGTCCACAAGGCTCCGACAAATGCAAGCCACAGGCGATGCTACAGTCGTGGTGAGGCTTGGGCGGCACATTAAGGCAGAGGGGTGTTATAGGATTGTAGGAAAGGGATTTCTCACAGTGGTTGTGAGCTGTGAGCATGTGGAGCAAGAGTTCTCTTCTAGAGTTCAAGAGTTCTCTTCTAGAGTTCAAGAGTTCTCTTCTAGAGTTCAAGAGTTCTCTTCTAGAGTTCAAGAGTTCTCTTCAAGAGTTCAAGAGTTCTCTTCTAGAGTTCAAGAGTTCTCTTCTAGAGTTCAAGAGTTCTCTTCTAAGAAAGGGTATTTCAAACAGGACTTCATCTGGCAGTGTCACGTCTTTGTTCTTAAAGCATGGTCATGCCTCACAGCACGTCTTTCATTCATCTACCTGTGTAATGTGATGTGGTCTCACGATGTGACACGTTACACCTGCTCCAAATTGCCGTCTTTTCCCAAGCTTCCCAGCTTCTCGTCCCTCTCGTATATCCTCTGCAGTCCACACCGCGCCCTCAGTGAGTGTAAATCACCCCCTTGTGCGGTGCCATCTCATCCCTCTGCCTTCCGTGCCATATCCCCCTCACCCCCATCTCACCCTACTACCATCCCTCTCACACATCTATCCCCCCGAGCAGTCAGTGAGTGTGAAGCATCTCGCCCGCAGTCTGCAGTGCTACCTCACCCGCCCCGATGCCTCCTACTGCGGTCAGTTCGTGCTTTCACTCCGTCTCTTCGGTCCGTACCTTCACTTCGTCTCTTCAATCCATGCCTTCACTCGTTTCGTAATCTTCCAATACATTCTCAACCGTCTGCCATGTACCATCACTCTCATCACTCCCATCACTCCCATCACTCCCATCACTCCCATCACTCCCATCACTCCCATCACTCCCATCACTCCCATCACTCCCATCACTCCCATCACTCCCATCACTCCCATCACTCCCATCACCCCCATCACCCCCATCACTCCCATCACCCCCATCACCCCCCACCATGCAAGCAGGGGTGGCTTCCAACGGGGCATGTCTCATGATCTTCCCTTCTGATACTGCATCCCCCTGTTGCATGCTCCGGTCACCACCATGCAGTCCAGCTGAATGCCACCACCCTCTCACCCACCTCCCCTCCCTCCATGCATGTGAGCCGGGGTGGCACCCAACGAGGTGTGACTGCTCATGATCTTCCAATACGCCGTCAACCGCCTGTCCTGTACCTTCCGTAACCCCCCCTCCCTCCAACCCCCACCTCCCACCTCCCCCTTCAATGTGTTACAAGCAGGGGTGGCACCCAACGAGGCGTGCCTGCTCATGATCTTCCAATATGCCGCTTCCCCAATCAGCCTACAGTACCGCCTACCTCTTCTCGACCCGGGCTAGGCCCCTTTGCACTGCCTGCCCCTCCCTGCATGATTCAGGGTGGTGGTCGGTGCCGCATCTCACACTCACTCGCATTCGTTCGAGGAACAACCTGCCTCGCCCAACAGCCCGGAGCACTGCCGAGACCCTCCTTAACCCTGGATATATTACACACCCCCGCTGCTCCCTCCACATTGTAAATTGATTCTCGCTACACTCCTCAGACGTCTCAAAGCAATCCATTTATCAACCTTGTTGGGCTGAATGCCCCTTAGGATCTTTGGTAGGGTCAAACTCTGGGTAGAGTGATGTAGTAGCGGAAGCGTTAATAAAGAGATTCTGAACTACCTTGCGCTAGTACCGTCAGCCCCCGGAAAGAAGCGCCCCTGGGGTTATAAAAAAACACGTTTTTTTAGGGGGTGCGCTTATAATTGAGGATTTTTATAAGCGCCGGTGCTTATATAATAGCATATGTGAAAATCGTCGTTTTCCCACCAAACTGTAGATCCCATTCTTGCGAATTGAATCGAGTCGAAACTATACAGGGTTCGATTGAGAATCTCGCGTGCAAGTTGGCAGGGATTGATTCCCTGCCAACACACACAGTCAGAATGTTAGAGGGGTGTTTACTATTCATTCCGAACAGTACATTCCTAGTCACCATTATCCTTATCTTCTCAGATTCTCTAGTGCCACGTGGCACTCTACTTTTCTTGCACTCCAATTCTTGGTCCCACATTCCACTTTCCAACCTTGTTTCTTGCATGCTATATAAACCTTGCTTGTACTTGCCATTATCAATCAATTCTTATTCAACTCTTCTTCAATTACTCAGTAACTTCTTCGCCTATTTCGCCAATAGTTCTTTCGCCAAAGTCTTCCGCCGCGTTTCATCCTCGACTTAGTCGACCCCGCTAATTCTTTAGCGGACTTAGGCCGTCGGGCCTAACACTTGGTATCAGAGCCTTCGCGGGGAGCGACTTCCAACGAGCGACCGTCGACGACGAAACTACGACGTCATCGTCCCGCGGTGCCGACTTGCAGACTTGGAGTCGTTGAGCGAACATGGACGAAACCATGCACGCAGTCCCCCACGACATGGGCAACACGCTTGCCGAACTCATGCGCCAACTTCAAGAGTTGACGCTGGAAAATCGTCAGGTACGAGCTGAAATGCAACAGCTTCGTGAATTGGCTTCTAACCCCCATGGTCATGCCACACCAACTCTTGCGCCCAACACGTCGACTGGCGCGGAAGCGCTGCCGGAACGTCGAAGCGCACTCAAGCCGCAGAAACCCGAGTCGTTCGACCCAAGTCAACGCGACGCGAACGTGCGGACGTGGCTCTTCATGCTGAACAACTACTTCCCCGCGAGCGGGGTGCAAGAGGCGGACGCGCAGCAGCGGATCGAGTACGCTGTTACACTGCTGAGGGGCTCGGCCTTGGAGTGGTGGCGCCAACTCACTCAAACTGCTGTAAGAAGGGCTCAGACAGACTGGCATCAACAGGGCGTGGGGCATGCAGCTGCAACTTCGAGCTTAGGGAGTTTAGCTTTGGGTGTTACCACGGTTCCGACCACATGGGAAGGATTTGAAGCGGCGCTGAAAAGTAGGTTCGATTTGGTGAACGCCTCCGAAGCTGCTAGGAAGCGTCTGCGTCATTTCCGACAGATAGGCAACGTCCAGGAGTACACACGACGGTTCTTGAGCATCTGCAACGAGATAGACGATATCACGGAAGCAGAGATGCGCGATCGCTACCTCGAAGGGTTGAAGCCGGACATAGCGGAAGTCATTGCGATTCACGGGTTGCCCACCTTCGAGTCGGTAGTCGCAGCAGCAGAACGCGTTGACGCAGTACGAAGCCGACGGGGTCGTGACGATCGCGATAGGGGATACAACAGACCGATCAACGACGCTCGATCGAGGGACGGACCATCGCCCATGGAGATTGGTGCAGTTAACAGTGACGGCTCACAGAAAATGGGATTTAGGGGGAACTGTCACTACTGCAAAAAGCCGGGACACATGAAGCGAGACTGCCCACAGCTTAAGGAGCGGCAGCAGGGAAACGGAAACTGCCAGTAGATAGCGGGTCGCTAGCTGGTGTGGAGGTTCCCGTACCTACCACGTCTACCAACGTAGAGGAGACGGCTTTGCAGCAGTCATCTACGGAGAACGAGGTAGACACTGTTGATCGTCCAGTCGTGCTTCTAGGGAAGCTTCGCGGAGTTCCTGTTAAGATTCTCGTAGATAGCGGAGCTAGCCACTCTTTCGTCTCTTCATCGTTAGTTTCTCGTCTCCATCTCGAAGCAGATTCAGCAGTCAACTTCAAGGACGCTCGCATGGTAGATGGGACGCCACTTCACATAGGACCGATCATCCGCAAGTTGCGCGTAGTGCTAGGACCGATCACAGTCAGGCGTAATTTCGACTCTGCGACGCTGGACGGATACGATTTTATCTTCGGGAGAGATTGGCTACGCACGGTTAATACTCAGTTCGATTGGGCTCAGGGAAGCTGCAGCGTCAAGGTAGACGGGGAGTTCCGGGAGCTGCCACAGTGGAGCGATGGGGCCACATCATCCACAGCTATCATTAATGCTGTTCGTGTGCGACAGTTAGTGAAGCGTGCGGCACGGATCTTCGCGGTTTTTCTTGAGGAGGTGGAAGCTGAGGAGGGGAAAGGAGGGAGTGCAGCAGTTAGTGAGAAGGCGACTCTTCCTGCTGAGGTGAGTGCACTGTTAGCAGAGTTCGCAGACGTCTTCCCCGACGAGTTGCCCCCAGGGTTGCCTCCCAGCCGAGCAGTAGACCATCGAATAGAATTGGAGCCAGGGAGCAGGCCAGTAGCGAAGCCGCAGTGGAGGTTGAGTCCAGCGGAGACAGAGGAGATGACGCAACAAGTTAGGCACTTTCTCGCACAGGGTTTCATACAGCCATCTAGATCGCCTTGGGCCGCACCGATACTTTTCGCACCCAAGAAAGACGGAGGGTTACGGATGTGCATAGATTACCGCGCACTGAACGCCGCCACCGTCAAGAATAGATTTCCGGTGCCGAGAGTAGAGGATCTTCTCGATGCAGTGCAGGGCGCTAGAGTCTTCTCAAAGATCGACCTTCGTTCGGGTTACCACCAGATTCGAGTAGTTCCAGAGGACCAGCACAAGACGGCGTTTCGTACGAAGCAGGGGTTGTACGAGTTTAGGATTCTACCGTCCGGATTGACCAACGCCCCAGCGACGTTTCAGACGCTCATGAACACAGTTCTCTCCGAGTTCCTAGGGTCGTTCGTTGTCGTTTACCTAGACGACATCCTAGTGTTCTCTAAGACGAAAGATGAGCACGTGCAGCACTTGCAGAAGGTCTTCGAGGTCTTACGGAAGGAGCAGTTATACGCTAAGCAGTCGAAGTGTGAGTTCTTCCTTCCAGAGGTCGAGTTCCTAGGACACGTCGTATCCGCTAGTGGCATTAGGACTGACCCGAAGAAGATCGCAGCAGTACAGGATTGGGTAGCACCGACCTCAGTCAAGGAGTTGCAGAGCTTCCTCGGTTTCGCGAACTACTACCGTCGTTTCGTTCAGGGTTACGCATCGATCGCTAGTCCACTCACCGACCTACTTCGGAAGGGCGTAGAGTACGTTTGGGGTCCAGCGCAGCAGCAGGCGTTCGAGCAGATGAAGCAATCGCTCACGTCTTCACCGACACTGTCGTACCCTGATCCCACTCGCCCATACGTTGTAGTGACCGACGCTTCTGATCAGGCCATAGGAGCAGTGCTTCTTCAGGACCAGGGACGCGGGTTGCAGCCGATCGCGTACGAGTCGCGTAAGCTTAGGGGAGCGGAGTTGAACTATCCCATACACGACAAGGAGGCGCTCGCGATCATCCATGCGTATAAGGTGTGGAGGTGCTACCTAGAGGGGGCAGATAGTGTTATACGCACGGACCACTGTTCGCTTCGTTTCCTCAAGTCGCAGCCGCAGCTGAGTCGTCGCCAGGCTAGGTGGATGGAGTTCATGGAAGGGAGCTTTCACTACAGGATAGAGTACAAGCCAGGCGTGCGCAACCCAGCAGATCCGCTCACTCGCCCTAGTTGTCAGCTCGCCAGTCTCACAGTCACTGCTGGCCACCCACTTCTCACAGCACTCTTCGAGCACGGTTACACAGTAGATCCCGACTTCACACCGCAGCCGCCCGCAGGAGCAGAGGTGCAGGGTAGTGTCTACATACGGAAGGGTACCACACGGATCTGGGTTCCAGCCTACCGCCCTCTTCGACAGCTCCTTCTCTCAGAGGCGCACGACGTAGTTAGTGCAGGGCACTTCGGAGCAGATAAGACGGCTAAGACGCTTAGTCGCACGTACTACTGGCCCGGGCTTGCAGCAGACGTAGAGGATTACATTCGCTCGTGCGACACGTGTCAGCGTACGAAGTCCTCTCGCCAGCGCAAAGCAGGACTCTTGCAGCCGATTCCACCGCCCGACCGCCCTTGGCAGGTAGTTACCATGGACTTCATCATGGCTTTACCGCGCACAGTTAGGGGTCACGACGCCATCTTCGTAGTAGTGGATAAGTTTTCTCGAGCAGCGCATTTCATCCCCACGCACGGCAAGGTCACAGCAGAGGAAGCCGCGACGCTGTTCGTAGATAACGTAGTCCGACTGCACGGGGTTCCAGATTCCATCATCTCAGACCGCGACCCTCGTTTCACTTCGAAGTTCTGGAAGCAGCTTTTCGCACTGTTTGGGACTCGCTTAGCCATGTCGTCTGCGTACCACCCAGAGACAGACGGACAGACCGAGCGTGTGAACCAGACCTTGGAGCAGATCCTTCGCAGCATCACGATGCACGACGCAGCCGCATGGGACAAGAAGCTGAGCATGGCAGAGTTCGCCTACAACAACACGCACCACTCCGCCACAGGCATGTCACCGTTCTTTGCACTTTACGGTCAGCACCCCAATGTCCCCACTCGTGTCGATCTCACACCCACAGTCCCTCGTGCGGACAACTTCCACCAG